TACAGAGTTTCTCCATCTTTGGCTGCAAAGAATATAATCAATCTGATTTCAGTATTATCATCTGGTGGTGTCCATGTGTAGAGTCTTCTCTTGCGTTGCTGGAAAAGGGCGTTTTCTATGACCAGTGCATTCTCTTGGCCAAACCGTTAACCTTTGTCCTGCTTCATTTTGTACTCCAAGGCCAAACTTGCCTGTTACTCCAGGTATCTCTTGACTTCCTATGTTTACATTCCAGTCCCCTATGATGAAAAGGACATTTCTTGGGGGGTGTTAGTCCTAGAAAGTCTTGTAGGTCTTCAAAGAACTGTTCAACTTCAGCTTCTTCAGCATTAGTGGTTGGGGCATAGACTTGGATTACTGTGATAATGAACTGTTTGCCTTGGAAATGAACACAGATCATTCTGTTGTTTTTGAGATTACGCCCAAGTACTGCATTTCAGACTCTTTTGTTGACTATGATGGCTATTCCACTTCTTCTAAGGGATTCTTGCCCACAGTAGTAGATATAATGGTCATCTGAATTAAATTTGCCCATTCCAGTCCATTTTAGTTCACTGATTCCTAAAATGTCAATGTTCACTCTTGCCATCTCCTGTTTGACCAATTCCAATTTACCTTGATTTATGGATATAACATTCCAGGTTCCTATGCAATATTGTCTTTTAGAGCATCAGACTTTACTTCCATCACCAGTCACATCCAAACTGGGCTTTGTTTTTGCTTTGGCTCCATCTTTTCATTCTTTATGAACCTTACCTGCCTCCTGAAAAATCTGTATGAAGGTCAAGAAGCAACAGTTAGAACTGGACATGGAACAACAGACTGGTTCAAATTGGGAAAGGAGTACATCAAGGCTGTATATTTTCACCCTGCTTATTTAACTTACCTGCAGAGTACATAATGAGAAATGCTGGGCTGGATGAAGTCCAAGCTGGAATCAAGATCGCTGGGAGAAATATCAATATCCTCAGATACACAGATGACACTACTTTGATGGCAGAAAGCAAAGAGGGACTGAAGAGCCTCTTGATGAAAGTGAAAGAGGAGAGTGAAAAAGTTGGCTTAAAACTCAACATTCAGAAAACTAAGATCATGGCATCACTTCAGGGCAAATAGATGGGAAAGAATGGAAACAGTGATAGACTATTTTTTTGGGCTCCAAAGTCACTGCAGATGGTGACTATAGCCATGAAATTAAAAGACGCTTGCTCCTTGGGGAAAAAGCTATAACCAACCTAGACAGCATATTAAAAAGCAGAGACATTACTCTGCCGAAAAAAGTCTGTCTAGTCAAAGCTATGGTTTTTCCAGTAGTCATGTATGGATGTGAGAGCTGGACTATAAAGAAAGCTGAGCACCGAAGAATTAATGCTTTTGAACTGTGGTATTGGAGAAGACTCTTGAGAGTCTCTTGGACTGCAAAGAGATCAAACCAGTCAATCCCAAAGGAAACCAGTCCTGAATATTCATTGGAAGGACTGACGTTGAAGCTTAAGCTCCAATGCTTTGGCTACCTGATGCGAAGAACTGACTCACTGGAAAAGACCCTGATACTGGGAAAGGCTGAAGGCAGGAGGAGAAGGGGACGACAGAGGATGAGATGGTTGGATGGCATCAATGACTTGAAGGACATGAGTTTGAGTAAGCTCTGGGAGTTGGTGATGGACAGGGAGGCCTGGCATGCTGCAGTCCATGGGATCGCAAAGAGTTGGACACGATTGAGCGACTGAACTGAACTGAACTTGCCATGAAGTGATGGGACAGGATGCCACAATCTTAGTTTTTTGAATGTTGAGTTTCAAGTCAGTTTTTTTCACTCTCCTCCTTCACACTCATCAAGAGGCTCTTTAGTTCCTCTTTATTCTCTGCCATTAGAGTGGTATCATCTGCATATCTAAGGTTGTTGGTATTTCTCTTGGCAATCTTGATTCCAGCTTGTGATTCATCCAGTCCTGAATTTCGCATGATGTACTCTTCATACAAGTTAAATAAGCAGGGTGACAATATATAGCCTTGCCGTACTCCTTTCCCAATTTTGAACCAGTCCATTGTTCCATGTCTGGTTCTAACTATTGCTTTTTGACCTGCACAGAGGTTTCTCAGGAGACAGGTAAGGTGGTCTGGTATTCCCATCTCTTCAGGAATATCTCACAGTTTGTTGTGACCCACACAGTCAAAGGTCTTGTGCAGTCCAAGAAACAGGTGTTTCCCTTCAACTCCCTCGCTCTGTCCAGGATCCAACAAACATCTGCCATTTGATGTCTGTTTCCTTTGCCTCTCTGAGACCCAGCTTGTATATCTTGGAAGCTGTTGCATTATGTACTGCTGAAGCCTAGCTTGAAGAATTTTGTGAAATGAGTGCAACTGTACAGTAGTTTGAACATTCTTTGACATTACTCTTCTTTGGGGCAGTAACTTAATGTAAACCACCAAAAATTATCTGGGAGAAAAACAAGAATAAACCAAAAGAAAATAGATAAAAGAAGAAAAATGGGGAAAAAAAGAACCACAAAAAAGGGAAACAAAAACTTATCTGGAGAGAACCTCTGTGTGGAGAAGCACCCCCGGGCTTTCTCACTCACTTATGGCGGCCGTCCCGCCCCCTTCGTGCCCCACCTGGACGATGCTGGGTCATGAAGCCGCCCAGGGTCCTGAGCCGCTTCCTGCTCCCTCTCTCGCCTGGGCTCAGATCCGACAGCGCTCCCACCCATCCTGCCGTCTGTGTCCCTCTGTCGGTTTCCTCTTACACCAGTTGCAGCTATGTTGCCTCTGCCCCCCACTCCGCCGCCTCACTCAGATCCACATCTTCCCCTTCCTCTGTGAGCATCCCGCCTCCTGTTTCAGAGCAACCACAAGCCCTCAGACACCCCCATTCACCAGCACTCTGCCTGCTGTGCCAGCTCAGCACCAAGGAGGATGTGCCGCTGCCCCCAGAGACCATGGCCTGCAAACTGGGTCTAGAGCCGTGTCCCCACAAGTCACTCGCGCTCCCTGGTCAGCACACAAGCAAGGGAGGACCTCTGGGCCTCGGGCGCCTCCTCTCTCACTGGTCTCTTTCTCCTGTCTTTTCTGCTTTCACAGGCAAACACCCCTCAAGAGGCCGACTCCACATCTGCACCATCCATTCATCCTCAAGACATTTCCATCTGGCTGTGTTCCAAACACCGAGACCTCTTAAATCAGATGTGAAAAGCATGCGTGTGTGCTCAGTCACACAGTCTTGTCTCTTTGTGACCCCATGGACTGCAGCCGGCCAGGCTTCTCTGTCCGTGAAATCTCCCAGGCAACAATACTGGAGTGGGTTGCCATTCCCTTCTCCAGCGGATCTTCCCGACCCAAGGATTGAAACTGCATCTTCCCCATTTGTAAGGGGATTCTTTACAACTGAGCCACCAGGGAAGACCAGACATGAAAAGCACTAATGTACAAAATCCCAGGTAAGTTTCACTATAAAAAGTACCACCTGTCACTCAAAAGATACTTTAAGAAGTGAAAAATCAAGTAACAAAATCACAGAAGTTATCTGTAATGCCTGAATCTAAGAAAGGTCTATATAAAGAATACAGAGAGAACTCCTACAATAATAAAAATCAAATGACTCAATAAAAGACATGAGCAAGCATTTCACAGATGAAGGAACTTTATGGCCAACAAACAGGGAGATCCACAACCTTAGACATCACCAGAGAAACATACCTCACAACCACAGAGGAAACAGCAGACACCTACAAGGCTGGCACCAATTCAGACATTTCCCAAAACCAGGTTTTGGGAGGGTGTTACAGATCCCGACCTCGGGGTTGCCTCTTCCGCCACAGGTAAGCACTGGAACATTAACACCCCAACCGTGACCCCCCACCCTAAGTGTGCAGCCAAGAAAGCCTGAGGGGGTGTGTGCATGAGGAGGGAGTGGGTGTCCACGGCAGCGCAGCTGGCACACAGACGGGGCAGGGCACACGGGGGCACAGGCGTGCCGAGGACCTGGCATGTGAACCTCATGTCAGCACACACACAACTTCAGAGACCACAGGCTGCAAGTGCAAAGCAGCTACAGCTAACACAAACCTTCCTGTGTGTGTGTGTGCGTGCACATATGCACAGACACAGACTATTCTTTAAAAAAGCGACGAGAAACACAAAATCCCTGCTAACAGTGGGGGGCTTGGTGGAGGAAGGGAACAGATGGCTGGTGACACGTGACGAGGGATGAGAGGGAGTGGTGGCAGTGGTGACTGAGCGTGGGGATTCTCACTTCAGGTCCAAGAAGGAACGGATGTGCAAATGTTTGCAGCTCAGTATGTTACAAATGTCCACTGACCAAGCTGTGACCACAGAGAGGGGCAGGAGCACCACCTGCAGCGCCCATGCCGCCACTGAGGCCTCAAGGGGCCGAGCGAAGGGGATGAGCCCCCCACTCAGCAGAAAGAGTCCCTGAAGCATTACCTGTTGTATGTAAATTCCACATCCATAGGTTCAAAGTTATATGCTTGTTCAAATTCTGGATTAAGTTTAAGAGTTACATCTTCTTCATGAATCTAAAAAGGAAAATATTTTACTTCTCATCTTTATGCTTGCTTTGGACAATCCTCCACCCATAGTCATAATGCATCATCAAAACCCATCCTATAGATCAGAGCTAAAATCTGGTATCTGAAATGTGTGCAAAAATATTGAGAAGACTCCGTCACTGTGCCGCTGCGCCCCCAGCCGCACTAGCACACCTGCTGACCCCTCCCCCAGGTCACACTCTCCTCGGGGCCCAGACAGCCTATGCTGGAGACAGGCTGCCACCTCCAAAGCAACAAGTGAGTGACCACTAACAGCAGGGTGTGCTGACCACAAAAATGCCTCATGGACATCATTCTGAAACCCCCTTCCAGCAGGACAGGGTACTAGACATTCAGGGGCCCTCCAGCCAAAACTAGATCCTACGTAACAATCCGAGACGAGCAGGATGGAAAATCCCGAGCTGAGAGGCCAGGGGCAACAGGGGCAACAGGCAGTGGGGTCTCTCCCAAGAGCTGGGGGCCGTGACATGTGGCTAACTGTGCCCCTGCTCTTGGCAGAAGCAAATGCAAGCACAGGTCCCCAGTTCTCCCACAGGTTAAGACAAATGAAAATAAATCCGTAATCAAAGACCACCAAGCAGACAAAGAAACAAACCACAAACAGTGAGGGCCCACTAGCACAGTCGTCAACAGATCGAGGCCCCCAGGACATCATGTACTGACACTGTCATTTACAGAAACTTCAAAAACTATGAAACAAAAAAAACTAGGGAGACCAAGATAGCAAGCATAAGATAACACAAGGGAACACAATGGGCTGTGCTTACACAGCCAGACTCAGGGAGAACGGGGGAAGTGCTCCGTGCGCTGCCCCAGACAGGCAGGCCCTCTGAGGCGGCGGCCGGGGGAGGCCAGTGCTGGCACAGCCAAGGAAGCTCCCAGAAGCACCGTGCCGCCTGCCACACCCTCTGGGGGCTCTCGAGGGCCTTGGTGCCTTCAAGGTACCCAGGCCACGGCACCAGCCAAGGAGCTCCAGAGAACTGAATGAAGCAATAGACTGAGACCTGAGACAGCCCCAGCTTCACCTGGCAGCCCATCACTCAGGAGTGGCGGCTCCAGGTGGTCCTGCAGGAGGGTCGGCAGGGCGCCCTCACCCGGAGGCCGGCACTCGCAGCTTCAGCTCTGGACTCTCCAGCTTGTGGCGCTGCTTGCTCCCCCAGCCAGCCTGGGGGCAGGGCCACGGGGGTCTCACCCCTGACATCTCTGGCCCTGCTTCTGCTGAGGATTTAGTCCACAGAGTGGCCCCTGGGGGCATGACCAGTCTACCCTCTGGGACATGTTCAGAACACTCAAATCTGAGTAAATGCAAGCCTTCCATGGAATACCCATGTGATACCTTGATATCGATGTGATAACAAGACGCTGTTCATGGCTGAAAGTGATAGGATTTCTTCAGTTACAAAGTTCTCTTTATGTATCACACTTATTTAAATACTCACTTGATCCTTGATTTTCTAAAATGCCGTCAACACCCAGGGGACCCCCTCCCTCGTCCCCAAGGCAGATGGGTCACCTCTGTGAGTGGCCTGCTGGGCCAGCCCCACATGGACTGACTAACAGTGGCCTCTCACCTCAGTCACGTAGCCGATGTATTCAATCACGTGTCCATTGTACTCTGGGGTTTTTAAAATCAGTTTATCACCTAGTTAAAAAACACATCACCACATGAAAACTACAAACGCAATAAACTCTGCTGCTGTATTGTAAGATGAAGCACTATGAAGAAGTGGGATAAGCCAAAAACACTATGAGGTCAATGGCTTAAAATCACGTTAATGTGCTGAGAGAGATACCCAAAGACAAGGCAACTCATGTGACGACAGCGCTGCCAGTTAACGTGTTCTCTTCCGTGACCGTGTTCCGTGGCTGCCAGTCCACCGAGGAGAACATGACACGTAAGAAACCCACCTGCATACAGAGAAGGCCGACTTTCAGCCAGTCCTGGGACTTCCAGAACGAGCAGATCCCCGTTTCTTTTCAAGGTGACCGCGCTCATATTATACTCCTTCAGTTCTATTTCTGCATGAATCTCCTCCAGCCAGAGCAAGGTTGAGAACTTCTCCTTGTAGTTTGACATATTCAAAAGCTGGAAAGAAGGCAGCCTGTGAGTGAGAGCAGAGCGGCACTCCACACACTCAGGTCAGGAGGCCAAAGGACAGACTAACCAGCCTTCAAACGCCGATGACCGGGTAAATGCAGGGCGGCGGCCTTGAGACCGGGAGCCATCTGAGTGTGCCCACAGCCGCCCAGCTCCCACCCAGACAGAGCTGCCAGGCTCTGCACGGAGCGCGCCCAGCAGCCTCGTGGTCTCTGCGCAGAGGGGGCAGGGCTGGGGGTCCCAGGAGGCCGAATGCCGGGGAGGGGAAAAGGTGCAGCACAGTGGAGTGGTCTGGAGCTTCCCAGGGCCCCGCGAGCACATGAGCGGGAGGGGCTGTGCCAGACGGGGAGGCGTGTGGGGCGGCAGACGCCAGGGCGGCCCAGCCTCTGCAGCGGGGCTGAGCTGCGCAGAGCACGGCAGTGAGTAGCACCTCTGGCCTCCATCCACTGGAGGCTGCGGGCACTACCAACCGTGACAACCAAGTGTCGCCTGGGGACAAGTTCCCTGCTGAGAGCCACTGGGTTGGAAAGAACAATTCCCAGAGCTCACACAGGGCTGCGGTGCCGCGGGGCCCCTAGCCTAAATAGAAAGGCCTGAGATACAGGGGCACTGGGTGGGGGATTCAGAAGGGATCAGCCCTAAGTAAAAACTACTCTGGTCTAACGAGGCTTTAAATCCAGGCTGAAAAGTACCCAACCACTGCCAGCTAACCTAACTGCATCCTAGAACAAAGTTCAAAGCTACTTCCAGGAATAGAAATACCAACAAAGTAGAATGCAGGATGTTTGTTTAGCATCCAAAGATGATCAGGCACGGAAATGAGCACAAGCCACAACCTGTAACGAGGAGAAAAACCTATCTACAGAACAAAAAAATGACCCCAGGAGTTAAGTCAGAGAAGGAGAAATATTCCTTATATGCAGAATCTAAAAAGAAATGATACAAATGAACTTATTTACAAAACAGAAAGAGACTGACAGATTTAGGGAAGGAACTTACGGTTACCTGGGGGAAGAATGGGGAGAAGGGATAGTTAGAGAGTTTGGGAGGGACACGTACACACTGCTGTAAGTGGATAACCAACAAGGACCTGCTGTGGAGCACAGGGAACTCTGCTCAATGTTGAGGACGGGAGGGGAGTCTGGGGGAGAATGGATCCATGTATATGCATGGCTGAGTCCCTCCGCTGTTCACCTGGAACTATCACAACACGGCTGATCAGCTACACTCCAAACAAAGCAAAAGGTTCAAAAGGAAAAAAAAAAAACACAAAAAACCATGGGAGAGAATCAGTACACAAACACATAAAACAGTTCTTTTACAAATTTATATACTTTATATATTTAACTATGTATATTCAAAAACTGGAGGGAAAAAAATGGAAGTGAAAAGAAAGTTGAGGAAAGATGAAGCATATTAAGTAGAGAAGTTAAAGTGAAAATGTTAGTCACTCAGTCATGTCCTACTCTATGCAACCCCATGGACTGTAGCCCACTAGGCTTCTCTGTCCATGGAATTCTCCAGGCAAGGATACTGGAGTGGGTCGCCATTCCTTTCTCCAGGGGATCTTCCGCACCCAGGGATCAAAGCTGAGTTTCTTGTATTCTCCTTCTGCATTGCAGGCGGATTCTTTATCATCTGAGCCCCAGGGAAGCCCATTAAGTAGAAATACAGAAGATATAAAAGACCCTCACTGAACTTGTGGAGGCAATAACTGCAGTGTCTGGAGGAGATCACATGCTGCAGAAGAAACATCAGTGACCTTGAAGACACAGCCAGAGCAACTACTCAGAATGCAGCCCAGAGGGGAAAGACGGAGAGAAGTGAAGGGAGCAGCCGGCACTCGGGCTAATTCATGTGGCCGCACGTGCCTGTCACAGGAGCCTGGAGAGCAGGGCAGAAGGAACACATGAAGACAGAATGGTCAAGAACCTTGAAATCTGAGAACTGTAAATTCTGGTTGTCCAATAAGCTCAAAGAACCCAAGCCAAGAAACATGAAGAACTTACAGCAAGGCACACTGTGAATTAAATGCCTTAAAACTAGTGAAAACCCTAAAAGGAGATAGGGGAAAATACAGACTTCGTACAAAAGAATAAAGGTGAGAAGGAAAGCAACGCCTCCCGGGCCCAGAGGACCCCTCCCAGACAGGGCGGTGGGAAACCCACCGTGCAGGCCCCCAGCATATGGGAGGCGCCCCAGGAGGGGCCACACTTTGGGGGGGGGGGGGCGGGGAGGTCACAGGGCGCAGAAGTGCTGAGTGACAGGTGCACTATCTAAAAGGAGATAGGGGAAAATACAGACTTCGTACAGGCCCCCAGCATATGGGAGGCGCCCCAGGAGGGGCCACACTGCAGGGGGGGGGGGGCGGGGAGGTCACAGGGCGCAGAAGTGCTGAGTGACAGGTGCACTATCTCAGTTCTGTGATGTTACCACTGCTGAAAGGAGCCACTTTCTCCTGGGAACTGCAATCCCGAGGAGGTCCTGTCCTGGTGCCCAGGCCAAGTCACAGGAGGCCTGCAGGACGATGTACGAGCACCGCCTTGGGATCTGCTTCTCAGCCCCAGGTTTGCTCTGAGCTACTTTAGGGCGGGTTTGCTGCTCCGGCCTCAGTTCAGGCCGACAGGCATCACCGCAGCCACCCATGGCCTCGCCCACATGCTTCCAGGTGCTGCCCTTTCCCTGTGGTCAGCCAGCCTCGGGTGCTGTCTGCTGCGGGTGCCCTTGCGGCATCCTCATTGTGGAGGACACAGGGCCCAGCAGATGGAGGCTCCATCTGTCTGTCAGTCTGTCTCAACAGTGTCAGGCGTGCTCCTAGCTGCCACACAGCCATGGGCTCAAGCTCTCCTCTGACACAGGGCCCACGTGGCCTCTCCTCCCCCCTTGCCCCGAATCAACACAGGCCCAGTTCTCACTCCACTCACCCTGTCCTCAGCCAACAGACCCCCAGATTCTTGGGAAGATGCCTCCTGGAGACAGGGCCGCGCTCCCCTCCTCCCTGCCAGTGAAGCAGACATCTCTGCTCCCCCTGCACACACACAGGCTCCAGCCCTGCCGGGGCTCACTCAGCACTGCCCTGCCCTCAGGCTCCCAGCCCTTCTCCTCCCGTCACAGCAGACAGGTTCGAAGCAGGCCTCCTCCAGCAGGTATGAGGAAGCCTGAGAACACACAGCACTGGGAGGGTGAGGAGGAGCCGTCCTGGCAGAGGACACCCGAGGGTCGGGTCTGGGGAGGGTAGCCCCCTCCGCTCCCCACTGCTCTGCACAGCTGCAGGCCTTCCTAGTGCTCAGAGCTCCGGCAGGAGTGGAGAGCTGCCGAGAGGCTCAGGCACACAGGAGAAAGGCCAGGTGGGGAGAGGGTATCCCCAGAGCCCTGGTGCATGTAAGTCCATAAGGCTGTGAGGATGGACCGTCTCCAGAGGGACCCAGCGATGGTCTCCACACTCAATATTCTGACACTCCCAGCTCCTCGGGGTGAAAACCAGCCCACATGACCTCTGAACTCGACAAGGGTTCATCCTGAGTTTTGTCAGAAAACAGTGCTTTGTGTAAGACACATTCCTTACCTCTGCAAGCAGCGGCTGGAAGGTCAGGATGTCAATTTTCTGTTCCACACACTTTTTAAGCCTGTCTGGTATCGGGTACTGCGGGAGGAAGCTGGGAAGTTGTCGTCGTGAGTTCCTTACAAAAGAGAGTCACAAGTCAAAAACAAGCCTTCCTCACACAGCACTTTCTACCAGATGTCTTCACTTACACATTCTCACCAAAAACCACTGACACTTTGGCTCTGGCCTTGGTCCTCGGTTTGTAAAGTGTCATTCAGCTTTGGGACCCGCTCTCCGGGCCTGTCCTCCTGTAAGCAGGAACAGCTGCTCTGCCTGCGACAGGAGAACAGGCCCAGTGACCAGGAGCCTCCAGGAACCAGGGAATTCAGAAACACTGTTTCTAAGCTTCCAATGAGCTCAACTGTTCTTTTCCTTCTAGTTTCATAGAGATACTGACAGAGGCACTGAAGACATTTAAAGTGTGCAGCATAATGACCTGACATATGCATCAAGAAATCATGATCGCTCACTGTCTCGTGCAAACACAAAGTTGAAGAAACAGAAAAAAATATTTTTCCACGTGATGAGAACTCCCAGGTTTTACTCTGTTAACAACCTTCACATATAACACACAGCAGGGCTGATTACATCTGTCACACTGTACGTCACACCCCCAGTACTTACTCATCTGGTTAATAGCAGTTTGCACCTCTTACCTCCTTCATTCAATTCCCCTCCCCTAAACCAAACTGGTGACCACAAATCTGATGTCCTTTTCTATAACTTTGTTTTTGATGTATTATTGACCTACAACACTGTTAGTTTCTTTTAAGCAACAGAGTGATTTGATATTTCTGTACATTTCAAAGAGGATGATCATAGCATAAAGATGTGTCATTCTGCAAAGATACTGTTACATTGTTATTGCCTATATTCCCACATTGGGGATAGCTATCTATCCACCCACCCATGCATCTACCCATACATCCATCTATCTATCCCTCCATCCATCCACCCACCTCTCCATCCAGCCAGCCTCCATCCATCCATTTCCACCTTCCATCCATTCATCCATCCACCCATCAATCCATCCATCCATCTATGGTTATTTAAGCTGCTTGTCTTAAGTACAAACACATTTAAACAATCCTGCATTTTTACTTCCCTTCCCTCATGATTCTCGTATTTGACATCACACTTGACATCTTTTGTGTATCCCTTATTTACTGGGCTTCCCAGTTGGTGCTACTGGTGAAGAACTCACCTGCCAATGCAGGAGACACAGAGACATGGGTTCAGTCCCTGGGTCAGGAAGATCCCCTGGAGAAGGGTATGGCAACCCACTCCAGCGTTCTTGCCTGGAGACTCCCAAGGCAGAGAAGCCCAGTGGGCTACGGCGCATAGGGTCACAAAGAGTCGGATACAACTGTGCAACCGACACTGTCACTTGACTACTTGTTACGGGCACATATGATTTTACTAATTTTGCCTTTTAACCTTACAACTAGCTTTACACAAGGCTGTTTTTACAACCTTTACTATACATCTTTATCTTTCCTACGAGTGTTCTTTCATGACTTTCACACTTTCATTTGTGGCCTTTTCTTTTTTGCTGAAGCCCCTTTAACGTTTCTTATAAGGCTGGTTTGGTGATGCTGAATTCTTTTAGCTTTTGCTTGTCTGTAAAGCTTTTGATCTCTCCATCAAATCTGAACAAGAGCCTTGCTGGGCTGTGTTCCTGGGCGTTGGTTTCCCCCTTTCATCCCTTTAAATACATCCTGCCGCTCCCTTCTGAGAAACCAGCGGGCTGTCTCACCGGCACTCCCTTGCACCGGTGTGCTGCCTGTAACACTCCGCCTCTAACTTCTCCCAGGCTAACGACAGCGTGTCTTGCTACATTCCTCTTTGGGTTGATCCTGTTTGAGGCTGCCTGTGCTTCCTGGACCTGGATGTCTGTTTTCTTTTCCAAGTTAGGAAGCTTTCAGCTGTTACGCCTTCACTTGTGTTCTCTGCCCCTTTCTCTCTCCTCTCTCTGGGACCCCTATCACGTGAATGTCTACACACTTGACGTCATCCCAGTGTTCTCTTAATCTATCCTCGTTTCTTTTTATTCTTTTCTCTTTCTTCTGTTCCACATCAGTGATTTCTACCACTGTCTCCCAAGCTTGCTGTTTCGTTCCTCCATATCATCTAATCCAATGCTGATTCCTTCTAGTGCATTTTTCATTTCAGTTTCTTCAGTCTTTATCTGTTTGGTTCTTTACATTTTCTAACTCTGTTGAAAACGTCTCACTTCTCGCTGCATTCATGCACTCTTGTCTCAAGTTGCTTGATCTCTGCAATCATTACCTTGAAATCTCTTGGGCAGGAGGCTTGTCTCCACGCCACTCAGCTCTTCTTCTGGAGTTTTACCTGTTCCTGTATTTGGAACACATTCCTCTGTCACCTTGCTGACATTATTTATTTTTGGCTGCACTGGGTCTTTGCTGCGGCATGCAGGCTTTCCCTATGTGATGAGTGGGGGCTCCTCGCCACGGCAGCCCGAGGGCTTCTCTTTGCAGTGGCTTCCCCTGTTAAGGAGCACAGGCTCTGGGGCATGCAGGTTCAGTCATTGCAGCGTGCAGGCTCAGCAGTTATGGCTCACAGGCTTAACGACTACTTGCCGAGTGGATCTTCCCAGACCAGAGATTGAACCCATGTCTCCTGCATTGGCAGGCAAATTCTTAACCACTGGAGCATCAGGGAAGCCCTCCTCTGCCCAGCTTGCTGTTTTTATTTTTGAGTATCTGGGGGGTGGTTACGTTTCCTGGCCTTGGAAAAGTGGCCTTTTGTAGATGTCCTGTGCACCCAGCAGCACACTCCCCACTGACCACCAGAGCCACAGGCTTCACAGCTGCATGCGCCCTGCACATGGGCTGTGTGGGTCCTTCTGTCATAGCGGGCTGACTGCTGTGAGTGGTGGGTGCGGCTGCCCCTGGTCTGGTTGCTCCCAGGCCCTGCCTTGTGTGGAGGCTGCTGTCCACTGGTGGCTGGGGCTAGGTCTTGGAGGGCTTAAAGCGGCCTGTCTGCTGATGGGGTGGGCAGATGCAGACGGTGGCAGTTCCAAAGGAGCCAGGCCATCAGGACAGGCAGTCTGGGTCACTGCTTTGATGGTGGGAAACAGATGTTTGTTTTAGGGATGCTCCTGAACAGGAACAATGTATTAACATTCAAAGCGAAAAAGCTGACCAGGGGATTAAATATGTGTGCTCCTGCTCTATTTTACTTCTCCAGTTAAGTCAACTTGTGATGAGAAAGCTGCCTGTAGCATCACTGAAGACAGCTGGAAGCTCTAGAAAGCTCCTGTAACTGGAGCCCAGCCCTGGGGACCCACTGCTTGCGGACCACGTGACCTCTTGCTCCTGTGTTCAGCTTCCATCCCTAGAGCCACCCAACCTGACCACTGTTCACACACCTAGTGACTGTTACTGCTTATTTATTACTCCTGACTGCTCAGAGCCAGAAACTGTACGTTTAATCCTCGTTAACTGGGACTTCTCAATGGTCTAGTGGTTAAGAATCCACCTTTCAGTTCAAGGGACACGGGTTTGATCCCTGCCCTGAGAACTAAGATCTCACATGCTGTGGGGCAACTAAGCCCGCACGCCACTACTGAGCCCACGTGCCGCAACTACTGAAGCCAGTGCGCCCTAGGGTCCACGCTCTGAGACAGAGAAGCCACTGCAATGTGAGCCCTCAGACATACTGTGAGCCCTACTCACAGCAACGAGAGGAAAGCCCACGCAGAGCAACCGAGAGCTGGCGCACCAAGACAAAGACCCAGCTCGGTGAAAGAAAGATCCTTACGATCACAGGCAGGGCAGGGGCGGGACTATCGCTTCACAGAGAGAGCAGGTCGAGAGAGGCTGAGAGACTGGGCAGGGACGACACGGCTCCCTGTGCATGCTGGGAGTCAACAGTGCTCCAACCCAAGGCCGATAACACACAATACTCCAACAGTTGTTCCTTCAGCCCACAACTGAGCTGAAGTCCGTATCTTATCTTCAGTTATTCCCAGGTAAGGTGTAAGCAGAAATTCAGTGTTTCCCATTACAGAAAAGTAGCACCCATCATCCCAGGGACTTGGGGCAGCAGCTGAGGCCACATACCCACATGACTAAGTCATGAAAACCCTCCAGTCTATAGGTCATGATTTTTGGCACCAAACTTAAAAAAGCAAAATCTGCTTTTTAGAGCTTCTGGGGTTTATTACTGCAGATGAGAAAAGGTAGACAGAAAGCACTTTCTCCAGACGATGACCTAGTTAAAGTCTGGGTGGTCCCCAACTGCCAGCCACATGTAGATGGCAGGTTACAAGTTTTTTTTTCTTGATTTCACTTTTAAAAGGTGTCACATCTTCAAAAGGGCTTCAAGCAGCCAAGTGACCCTCAAGCTGCCCTTGATAAGCGACACTTGGGTGCTGTGGACAGCTCACAAGAGACTATGCCAGCCACGTCTCACTGACCCCTTCCTGATGGGTGCCCATGTGGGACATGGGCTGTCTCTGAGGGTGGGTGGCTGTGCTGCTGGAAACATGACAGGCGACAGGAGCTGAGGGTGAGGGTCAAGTCCTGTCCCGCCCTGAGAGTCACCCCGAGACGAGCCGCGGTCGCAGGCCTCCCGCCGGGTCCTCGCAGTGTGCCCCGAGGACAGTGCTGTAAGAGGCTGGGCCATGGCTACACCCCTTTATCTGGATGTCTGCATCCTTTCAGCAACAGCAACCTTGTGTGTCCCTCACATCACGAGCCCAAGATAAGGGCTTGCTTTTTCATTTCTGCTCATGGTACCTTTTCTGTGTGGTCACGACGACTGTGGTTTTGGTGGAAGCTAACACCTGGGAACTTTTAGACTTCTTCCACGAAAAGGGTTCGCGGACAGCTATCAGTGACTCCTCCTCACTTACAACATTTACTTCAAGGTATCGCCCGATTATGAAATTGGAGAAGCAAAGCAGAAGGAGCTCCCTGCAGCGGCCAGAATTCCTGGAAAAACAAGACACAATTCAGTGTGTGTTATAAGTTAAGACAGGCAGATCTAACACAACCTCCCTTTTCACTCAGGGAAAGTCACAGAGGTAGCAAACCAGTCACCCTTAGCCTTTAATAATTCTTTTACAGAAAAAAAGGGATGTTTTACAATCAGCAATGTAACATTTTCCCAAGATAAAATCAGTTCAGTCGCGTCTGACTCTGTGACCCCATGAACCGCAGCATGCCATGCCTTCCTGTCCATCACCAACTCCCAGAGTCCAACCAAACCCATGTCCATTGAGTCGGTGATGCCATCCAACCATCTCATCCTTTGTCGCCCCCTTCTCCTCCTGCCCTCAATCTTTCCCAGCATCAG